CCTCCTCAATCCGCGCAAGATTTTGTGCTAACTTCTCGTCGTTTCGCGCTGTCTCTATGATAAGGTAAATTAGGTAAATTAATTGTTGGTTCAAAAAACGGTGCAATTACGCAGTTTGAGTGACCAAAAGAACAAATAAGTACAAATCGGTTTGTAAAAATGCTTACTTCTTACTTCTGCTTACTGCTTACTTCTTTATAATAGCGTCGCTCATAGAGAACTTGGCAAAGACGCTTGTTTTCCTTACCGTAAAGGTGATCCTCGACATAAATGGGACAACACATTATCAAAAATGGATGTCAAGATTCTGACAACAAAATACTCTAATTGCCCCGCTCAAAGATTATTTCTATTATGTCCTTCCTCTTACGCAAGATGTTTTTCAATCAAGAATTTTGTTTTGAAGTCTGATGCGTACGTCAGTTTACACCAAAAAATGCTGTCATAAGGCCAAATTCCTCAAGTGTTTTTTCAAGGTCGAAAATTACCTTGTGATCAATGAATTACAGGCAGGCATCAGACAAGCATCTGAAGCTCCTACAGCGACTCTAGCAGCTACAGCGAACCAAAATGATTCGGCAGCAAACAGAGGAAGAACAAGGTTGCCAACGCAACAAAGAAGAAGCGCAACGAAAACCTAAAACATTGCTATATGTGATGAATTTTGATCAAAAAAATCAACCCTACCATCCACTTCCCGTTGAGACGGTCTGCCCACATTCCTGTGACCAAAGTGAGAAGCGAGCCAGCATTTTGAGCAGCCAGCACCAATCCTTCCTAAACTTTATAAATAAGACGAGAACTTACAGATTCGTTTTTGCTCAGAGATAAATTTTCTACACGGAAAAGATATAATTGTAACATCTAGGACTTTCTAATCAAGCCAAATTTTTCCCGCTCTCTGTCTGCTGTCTCTTACAAAACTGAACTCTATCAGTGGACGGTACAAACGCAGTCTTTGAGTGCGGAAAACATAATCTACGAGAAGTTATAGAGAACAAGTAGATTGGCAGCTTTTGTTTCTGCATGGGAATTTGAGGAAGTTCAAAAGTATTACACTGGAAAAAATAAAAAGTTTGTTTTTGGCAATAATAACTCTCTTCCTTACCTCAAGCTTTGCGGAGGAATGAGAATATGGAAATGTGTAA